TCTTGGGGATGGCACAGCCAAGGACGACGGGGGCAGCCGAGGCGGCGAGAACGAGCGAGTGGAACCTCATTATGTCGAGGTACGTGGCTGACGATGTGTCTGGAGGGCAGGATAGTTGCTTTGAGTGTGCAAAAGAAGGGGCTATGGACGGCGAGAGTATTCACAAGTGAACGGAACGGAGGAGAAAAAGAACGTATGTAATGAATGAATGACGATACCGCAAGGGTATGAACAGAATCAAGACCAAGTCAAGGTGAGGACCAAAAAAAAGCAGTTGACATGAGAAGGCGGGAAAGGATGCGCAGGCTGGGCATACCATACATATATCTACTCTACCCTACGCGCCCCCCAAAAACTCGAGAGTCATGTCCGACCATGGGCTACAGGACAACCTGCCTGCGAAAAGCAAACCAACAACGCCTGACCCTGTAGCGGTCGTGCCGGCAGGCCGGATCCCGTCATGTGCAGGCCCGCCGCGAGTCTGCAGATGGTGGTGAGAGAAATAACATTCTGCTCATCTAAGATGACCAGGGGTGTTCCGGGATATGAGGTGAGGAGGGGTGGGCGCGTGGCGGCGCCCAGCATCGGCATCGGGCAACCGTTGAGATGGGCTTGCCCGTCGCGCGTTTACAGTTCCTCCTGACAGGCGGGGAGGGGAAGGAAGGAAGGGGAAAGGGGTCGATGGTCTAGACACTGATGAATCTCTGGCTAGTTTGACATGCACGCTTGCCGCTGCCCGCGATGTGACGTGAGGTGGTCTCCATCGGATCGGACGACTGCATTTTGCGCGGCTGGACCCGAGGAGCAAGAATGCGGTATGGCGAAGACGGCCGGCCAACCATGGACACGTGCAAGAAAGTTAAAAAACCCCCAAAAAACCAAAAGGATGGGCTGTACTACAGTACAGTAGACTCGAGACGAGTCCATCCCTTGCACTCTCTCATCTCGCCGTGCTCACCACCACAGCTGCCGCCCACGATCCTTCTTGCAGCGCCCTCATCACCGACGCCCACCGACCCGCAGATGGCAGGATCAAGCCGAGCCTCCCACCTCCAGAAAGGAAAAAGAACGACAGGCTTCGGCGGAGGGGGAAGAGGGGGGGTCGTGCATGGTGGGCAGATGAGCAGTGGGGAAAACAAAAACTCGACACACCATCTCCAGGGACGAGGCGACGGGGGACGAGAAGGATAGAGCGAGCATGAGCAGGTTGTCAGTTTCTTCTGTAGGGAAGGTGCAGTTGGAGGGGCTGTACATGTACATGTACCATGTACCCTTGATCGAGGCTAGCGTGCTTGCCCCTTTTGCTCAGTCGTCGCACCTTGCGTGCCGTCTCAGCCACACCTCAAGCCAGATGTCGCTGCGCATAGTTTTGTGCAACGGCAGAAACGGACGTCTCCTGTTGAGCGAAGTCCCAGTTGAACTCCCACGATTCCTGGCGTTTCTTGCCCCCCAAGATGGGACGAGGCATCGCGCCCTCACGACTCCAAGAACTTTCAAACTTGACTGGACGCTACTTGCCTTGTTTGGTCAAGAGCAGAAGTGAACTTCAGTGTAAAAGACGACGCAATATGATATGAGTATATCCAGGTGGGATTTGGTAGGTACCTTAGTTTACACGCGCTGGGCAGATCATCATGGTCGTACAAGGCTCCAACAAACACCACAGGGTGTGCCTGACGAGTTAATGGAGTGTGTCACCTTCAAAAAAGCATACCCACGACCGTCAGGGTGCAAAACGTCAGTCAGTACGCACGCAATCGTCCATCGTGACTTGTCTGCGGAAAACACGCCACGGTTTACATGTATGTCTACGAGTTAAAGGCAAACCGAGACTGCTTGGCCGTGAGTGAAACAGCTCCCCGCCCCTCCATTCTGAAGCTTCAGATCGCGTCGCCAAAGATTGAACTTACTTGGTGCACAAGGGATGAGTCATGGGCCAGAACCGACAATACGCGGCATCCACTTCCATAGGTCCTAGATGGATGTACCTCGGAGCCTCGCCTGTTGACGATGATGGGATGTCGCATATTTCAGAGTCAGTGAAAGCGACCGTTTCCATGGCATGAGCTTTACTGTGGGATCTGTGCAATGTGGCCAAGTTGTGCAAATGGGCAACCGAGCCTCATCGCTTGATCTCTAAAAGCAGCGAGGCTCCAAATGATGTCCAGATCGCCCCCTGGCAGACCCCATCGATGAGGTTCCACACCCGAATTTCAGGAACCTCCTGGGGTGCACCCCTGAACGAACGATGCGATGCTGCCCTTTGGTCTAGAATGACGGGGTTTAGCGCGTCCTAAGCTCGACGTAGCCTAAGCTGAAACTCAGGGACCCTAAGCAAGGTAAAGGGAAAGGTTCAGGAAAAGCTTCGACTGCCCTCTGACTTAGAAGGCATATCGAACTAACGTAATGACAGGCGTCAATAATCACGCGGGCATGATATTTCATTCACGGGTTTCTGAATCGGTCTTCGGCGAGGAATCAGGGCTTATGACAACATTTCGATCTCTCAACTCGTGATTCGGGCTTTCTATCATGGCACTTGGGAGACACTTGCCCCAACGGCTCAAATGGGCGTTCAATCCTGCACTTCGTCAGCCTCCGACAGCCGATGCAAGCAGAAACGAAATTCATGACGACAAATCAAATGCAGCTCAAAGATCCTGGTATACTCTTTGATGTGGCTCAGGCCTTGGTCCATGACTTGCGGGCTCCCGCCAATACCCACGCCGGTCCTGCAACTGGGTCTTGTTGAGACAACTAGGAGAGTAGTGATCCTCCGGCTTGCCATGTGGCCAAACGGCCACGAAGCAAATCTCGTTGACATCGCATGGACTGCACTTCCGCCATTCAGTCCACTCCAGCCATCCCATGAGGTCTCTGATGACGATACGGACCTTCTTCAGGGTGTTCTCATCCTCCTCAGGCTTGCTCACTATGTCCCGAACCGAGAACAAATCAGTGCACAGCCTGGTTAAGACGGTCTCGAAAGCAACTCGGATGAGTTTATCCTGCCATGTACTCGAGTTGACAGGGCGGAGGAAATGCTCGGCGCATTCGCGCGTGCCGGCTGAGATGTCCGGTCCGGCAGAGGGGGTGTAATTAACGAAAGAGTCGAGCAACACGTTCAACTCCGAACGAATGTCGTCCCAGGTTGCCTTCTCGGCCATGAACCGGAGACGGTCGGAATATCGTGAAAACACCATATCCGTAATACCCTGCCAACTCTCAGTCAACTGGGGCACCTCAAACGTCGACAGCGACTCCGCCACATCGGTTCTGATGCTCTCCAGCTCTTCCCACGGCATGAAAACCATCCTCGGGTGTTCTGCAGCCTTGGGATCCGGGTTTGTGAGGTTGACAGGGTAGAAGAATGCAGAGACCATTTTCGAAAAGTCCACGTGGACGCGTGTCGCGGCAATATCCCAGTAGCGCTGCGCAACCGCACGTATATACTCCAGCTGGTTCAAATCGAGGTCGCCTGCCCTTCTCTGGGGTCGTTTTTTGGCCGAAACCAGCTCCATGCCGTCTTCGAACCGGCATTTGATCACCTCGAGCCGGCTACATGCGGATGATTCCGTCGATCTGCCACTGCGCAGCCATGTCGCAGAGGGCCTGGGCTCGATGTCTCTCGTCGAAGCCGCCCTCCCGGTGCGGTTCCTGAGCAGGATATCCTGCGTGTCCAAAGTGCCGAGGTCGCATTTGGCGCCGGACATGCCATCGATGTACAGCAGGCGCTGGGGTCGCGTGACGCGATAGGTATGGAGGTAGCCATCGCGCGTTGGCCGCTCTTGGGCCCTTGGTGTATCTGGACGAGAAACAACTACTTTCTCTGACTCAGAAACGTGTAGGTGAGAAGTTTCAGGGGGCCCGTTCTGCCGACGACGGTTCTGCGGGTGGTCGGGCGGGCCTTGTCGCTCGAGCAACAGCGGAGCAAAGACCTCTGCATGCTCAATCTCAAATGCGAGCCACTCGAGGCCGGTCACTGCGTCAGGGGCGGTTGTCCCGTGATATAGCAGCACGCCTTGGGGGATGGTTGCAGGGAAGAAGGACATGCCGTTGTGGTTCAGGGAGGATCCCCATTGGCGCATGGCCGAGTGGACGGCGTTGAAGATGTGGCGTGCATTGTCCCGCGCCGAACCCGAGTCTGGCTGTATTCCGCTATATGTAGGGGGCGTAGCTGACGTGGTGGCAGAGACGTGGTAGTGAGGAGCGATGACGCTGAGGACTGCAAGAGAGCAGAGCCAAAGAGCCATGGTGACGATGCTGGGGCAGCCTGAATGTGAAGAGTGAATGATGAACGAGGGCTGATGGTGAAAGTCGGCCCTGTCGGTCTCGCTGATTATTTAGAGAAATCAAGGCCGTTCTCCCCAGCCGCTACTTGATCTTCCTTTTCTTAGCTCCGAGTGCTGACCGGGCGGAGGCTCGTGGTTAGCCGTGGACCCCCGGAGATTCGGATCTGATAAGACTGAGCCGTGCCGACTTACCCGGCCGGCCGGCGCAGTGGGAGGAGTGATCTGTAGGAAACGTGCTGTCCCTTTGCCCACGTACCTGCTCGATCCAATTACTTCATGAGCGTTGCTTTCAGGGTTATTGTATTACTGAGGAACGCCATGATTGTAAAGTCTCGAGTCCAAGTTCTCAAGTCTTGTGATTCTTTCGATTTGTTTTTGTAATACTACTTGCTCCAAAAGACTGGCCCAGACCGTTGAATAACCACAGCCCCGAATCACCGGGGTCTTGCCCATGCCACCAATCTGTCTAGCGTTTGCGCCGTCACAATGAACGCGCAAGCTCATGGTCTGCATCACAAAACTCCAGGACAAAAACTTTCCGAACACTGCTCATTCGTTCCGGACCAGGATGCACTGGATAAGAAGAGGCCGCCCGAGCCTGCGACTGTGCTACTGTCACTTATGAATTCGAGGCCTTAGGCTTCCGTGTGTGAGTGGACCAGACTGAACACCTAAAACCTCTACCTGAGAAGGGAGGCCTGAGATGGGAGGCATAACCGAGATCGCGGCGGTTGTCTGATTTCCTTTGCCGCGTTGACCGAAACAATGCCCGGGCTCCCATGTGCGGAACTTGCCCTACAAAGTCAAACACCAGGCACGAGCCAGGCAGGTTGGGGATTTCGCTGGTAGCTCGACTGGTGCAACATTTTGCCTGTGGTCGAGCAAAGCACGCCCACGAGAATCACTGTTGTTCGCATTCCGCATTGGATTACTGCACACGATGGAGTTAGGGTATGCTACATATATGTGATATCACTTCTGCAAGGGCGTCACATCTCGCCGCAGCGTCTTGCTCTGCCAGTCTGATCCGGTGTCAGAGCAGTAAGGCCGCTAGCGCCAGGTCCAACATGGTGAGGGTACCATGAGTTCTGAGCTCCCCACAGCCTGAATGGCACCCTGAAGAACGGCATTCGGCTTTTGGCCAGACAACAGATCTCCTTCACACACTCGTGTGTGCCTAGCGCCACCCGTAGACCGGGGTTTCGATAGATTGATGCAACATCGGCGCCAGTGGGAACGGCAGGGCTAAGGGGGGGGTCTCCTTGTGTAGCATGCACGTATCTCACAGATCGCAGACAAGTAATGCGCAACAATGACAGATAAAGACATACTGATACTGTATCATTTCTTCGCTGCAGAAAAAGCAGCCGTACCTCTCTGAAACTGAATGCGGAGGTTGCGAGAAAATAAAACACAAATGCCACCACGCACACATGCCACAAACGCTCCAATTCAGCTGAGAAAAGAAAACAGCCATGCCACCGAAACTCCACTGCGTGATCGTGCTCAAAAATAAGGAAAAGAAAGAAGACATGTTCCCGCCCTCACTCTAGTAGCCGTAACTGTCGTGTTGATGAACAGGACAGCGTCCTGGGTGGTTGACGAACCACGCGGAAATGCACGACCGGTGGAAGCGACAGAGGCACTCGAGTCTCGCCATCTGTACACCGGCTACGAACTCTTCCAGACAAATGGTACACTCTGCTGAGTCAACACAGTCTTTCTCCGTCGCCACGTAGGGGAACATGCCAGTCCGACGAGCAGCAAGCGGCGGAGGGGTGCCGACAACGGAATCCTGAGGGGTCTCACCCGGCGTTCCGCCGCCTCCGCCAGGATATCTGCTGTGTGATGTAATGCAGATGGTAATGTGGGCTTCCCGAAGAGCTTCAAAGTCGGGTAGGTGCCGAGGTGGGAGTTCTCGATGGCAAATGGGACATTCGTCCTCCTCGGCCAGCGGTGGTGGAGGTGGCGGCAGCGCACGATTCTGAGCGGCCGATGACGATGACGAGCCCACGTCTAACATGGACCTATATCGACTTTGTGCTGCACCAGGATATGCAGAGGCAGACGATGATGCAGGGAAGTATGTCGTTGGCGTCCCGAAGGGAATTCTATTCTGCGTGCCGATGTACGTGGCACGAGCCGTCGACGACCCTACACCGGGACCGGAATGCTACTGCCAGTCAGCATGCAGACCATATCACAAGTAAAGCAGTAAGACGTACCGTAACACTCCTCGATCTTACAAAAGCATCTTGGCCAGGTGTTGCCGAGAAATATCCCTGAAACCTGCCAGAAGGCGGATCGCCCGTTACGGCAGAGTCCATATTGCTACGTGCTCTCTGGTGAGCTACACGAGGCGACAGCTGGGCAGGTGAGCCTCGGGGCTGCGGTGGACTGGTGTTGGGGTCTGGGACGCAGGGGTTACATAGGCGAACCCGCTCTCCTCCGCCCAGACTACTAAAATCGGCGTAACCTCCTTCGCCGCTGATGAGAGACGAGGGATATCTTTTCGCCGGGGCGGCGCGGCTGCTCGGTCGGCTGCACAATGTACTGGTATGGTATGGTGATTCGGTGAGGCGAACATGCGTTACATACGACTCGCCCGCATTTTCTGGTATTATTAGACAGACTGCTCTTCAGGCGTGGAGAGAACGAACGAACCTGCAATGATGTTTCCTAACAAAGAAACTGAACTGCGTGCGACATATAGGGCAGAAGGTAACTTCAGCATCAGGCTGCCATCGTGGTAGGACGACCTCCGAGGATCCGTTTCTCCCTTCTGCTAGCTGCTGCTGGCTGCGACTGCTGGCGATGGACCCACGGTCGCTTCCACGTCGTGCAACTAACGGCGAGCTCAGTAATGTCGGCATTGGTGGAGTGGCATCTCGTGCAAGGTCTATGACTTCTGACCTTGGGAGGCTGCTCGTTCTTGGGGGATGATCGGCTAATGTGACTGGTGGCTCGGGCGACGGAATCGATGAAACCGAGGGCACAGCATCCTGAGTTTCTCGTAGCTGCGTGCTGATTTCTGAAGCTGGCATCGATGCGACATCAGGCTGCGGGTTAACCGACGTAGGAACTGTCTCAGAGTGTCCTGCATCGTGGGCAGAGTTTGAGCGGAGGGGAAGAGAGCCTATGCGCGCTCCATCCACAGGAGCAAAGCCTCTACTTTCTGACTGTGGTGACCGAGAGTCGATATGCTCTCCGGTGATTGTGTCGGGCTGTGTCCCAGGTCTTGGGTCGGAGTGGTTCATCGCGCCGTCGTCGACAGGCTCGTCCTCGGTGTCGGAGAGATTGCGCTCCACGATATGGGTCGGACAATCAAAGAACCGACGACATTCTCTGTCGTGGTATTCCGCCGTCCGATAAGGGCAAATTCTCGAGCTGCTCGAAGAATCGTTGTCTGGAAT